CCAGAAGCCGGCGACTGATCTGCCTCGCCCGGGAAGAGCGCAATGATGGTGCCAACTTGGGCCAGTGAAGCAACGTCCTCCACAACTAGACTGAAGATCATCAGAAAATTCACAAATGGGTGATACAAGACAGAAAAATTAAACCCAGTATTTCTGTAGAAATCACTATGGATATGAAAGCATTCATGAAGAATTTTGTGCTTTACTATTATTTTCTTTGGGAGCTAAGAATTTAAGGGTCTGATCCTTCATACATAGAAAAGCTAAGCACAATAAATAATGTTCTAAAAAGATTTTGTTACTGTTTGCAATGGTTGCTTTGATCAACAGCACACATTTTCACTTCCTTCTCTCCACCAGGTGGAAGTATAGGACTTTGTACCCTGTCTTGTTCTCTGCTCTTCCAGTCTGTGCAATATTCAGATGGATTAGGAGGGGAAAGATAAACAAACACCGTGTTCAAGAATATGAAATACTCCTTCAGCTGGATTTTATTGCATCATATTTTAATCATTTACTTGAAGACGATGAAAACAGTAGATTGAATAAGGTCCTTTTCCACAAATACTTTTATCTCCACTGAAGCCAACACGGACCCATTATGAGAAATGGCATATGAAATTTTTGCAGTAGCTGGAAGAACTGCATAGGACTGAACTAAACTAACAAAATAACGTCCAAATATTTTTAAGTGTATTGAAAAGTAATCAATGGAAATAAACCTTTGGCATCCTGGGGAAATTGGTTTTAATATAATAATCTCTACGGGAACGCTGTCCTTGATACCTTGATTAAGATGAGTCATCTTATTTTATTTTCCAGGTGCAGCGTTGTACTGCAAGTCAACCAATACAGCAATTTAAGTCACTTCTGTAATGGAAAAGTATGAAAAATTAGCTAAGATTGGAGAAGGGTCTTACGGGGTTGTTTTCAAATGCAGAAACAGAACCTCTGGACAAGTGGTAGCTATTAAAAAATTTGTGGAATCTGAAGATGATCCTGTTGTTAAGAAAATAGCATTAAGAGAAATACGTATGTTGAAGGTAGGTTAACTTTATATATCTCTAATATCATGGCATTGGGTGAAATATGTATGCCAAAATTACAGAGAATTTTAAAGTCATATTTTTTCCCCATTAGATTTAAATTCCTTTGTATCAGCAACTTTGGGAAATAAATTGATCATCACTTTGGACACGCTGATGTTTAGCTGATATTATGACTGCAGCTGTAGATTGTTAAAATATTGAAGTACTCCCCTTCTGGTTGGTAAATAGCCACTGTTCTTTTTTTTTTTTTTTTTTTTTTTTTTAGCTGAGCCATCCCGCCACCTGTTGGCAGCTCAC